GAGTGAAAGGGAACAGGTGGTTCCATCTGCAAAGGTATAGAAGGCTCTGCAGGTGAGATCTGCCCAGCGGGGAAGTCCAAGTTTAGCAGATCACTACAATTCTCCATGAAACTACCTTTAAAGGATGGAGCCAGAAAGGGGAAGAAAATGTTGAAATCCACAAAAAAGGAACAAATCTCACTTTGGATGTTGTTCATCTATCTGTCCTTGAGAGCCTCTCATTGCTAGAAGTGTTCAAGAAGGAATTAGAATTCTAGTCTAACCAAATGAGAAAAATAAAGGAAGAAATGGTTTTGTCCGCTCTCCCTCTTTTTCCCCTCAATCCTGGGGCCAGGACCCTTAGGGGTAGTGAGTGGGCAGGAGGAGAGAGGAGACAACCCCAAAGTGAAGCTCATGCCTTTCTCTTCCTCTCCATCATGGCACGGTGTTCTGGCTCCACTTACAGGGAAAGGTGGAGGAAGATACAAACAATAGGAGATCACTGAGTTTAGAGCAGGATGGCATCTCAAGAGACGACATGGAGAGGCAGCAGGACACAGGGAAGCAGACTGTCCAGGTTCAAACCCCAGCCCTACTCTTTACTAGCTGGGTGATGTCAGGCAAGTCACTCAACCTCCCTGTTCCTCAGTTTCTTCACTCATTCCAAATGGAGATGATGGTAATACCTTTCTCACAGGATCACTGTGAGGATTCTGATATATGCAAATATTTATAGTATTACTATTGCCAGAGAAGGCAGTCCTGGGGCTTTAGGCTGCACTGATCCACATTCTCATTTCAGGAAGTGTGTAGCACTCCTGTCTTTATAGGGAAATGTTCCAAGGGAAGCCACAGCATTTAAGTTTCACAGACAGCTTTTTTGAATTGGAGCAAGAGATGGGTTAGTCTGTGACAACTATTCCCCAAACCAGAATGGCGGCTCAGTAGCTTCATCCTGGGGACCTTCTTCCAAGATAATTACACTCACTTTCCTCTCCCACCTTGGCTACTTCTAGTCTTTCATGACTCATTCCCCTCTTGTGTGTCCTCTCAGCATTTGGCTACCAGGAATCAGTAGAATAATCCAAACCCATCCCATTCTCTCTGTCCCAAACACCTGGGCCTAGGATTGCCTCAAACTTGAGTCATTCAAGTCCCAACATGAGAAACACAAGGTCTGGGTGGCTCTCCGGCTGGATTCCCTCTAACAACGGGGTTACAGCAGATGGATTCCTCTCTGTGACTGATTATTTTCCATGGCCCTTGGCCATGTGACCTTGGACCATGATCTTGTCAGTTCTCATAAACTAACCAGGAGTGGAATGAATCACACTCAGAGAGGAGACCTCTGGGGGAAACTGCAAGAGGCTATGAGGGGGAGGAGAGAGCTGGGGATCCCAAAGGCCATGGGAGCCTCACCACCCCTCCGGCCTTCCCTGTCTCTAAGCAGTTTCGACCTTCCACAAAGGGAACGAGGAGGAGGCAATGGCCTTGGGAGACAGCCTGGGCTGCAGGAGGCCTACTCTTCTGAATAAGATTCAGGGTATCAGTCCAAGAGCCCAGTAATCCCTCCAACTCAGAGAGATTACCTGCCTCAGCTACTCACTGAACTGTTGGTTGTGGACACCCAAACCCCTATTCTTAGATGCCCCAATCCATCATAACATATATGAAATAGCCAACACACACGCACATGTGCATGAGCACCCATAACTACTGCAGGGACTGGCTATCCTGCAGGAGGTGATGAAAATGTTGGGTAAGGCACTCTAGGCCCTTGAAATAGTGTTGATGGTGAAGAGGTTTTGAGAATGCTACTTGAAGTGTTTATATTATGCCAAACACATTGATTAAAACTGAAAATGAAATGCCAATGAAATCTTCATATTCTCAAATATCCTGAATTTGGGTGTTGTACAAACAAAACCCTGATCTTCTCTGCCTAAATTTTTTACTTTAAATAATCTTTGAATTTCAAAGTTTTGTGTCTCTGTAGCTTTAGATCATGAGTTACCTTGAGTTCTCTGACAAGTTAATATATTGTTAGAGAAATCATTTCTGAATAAAACATGCACAAGTAAACAAATCCCTTAACTATGTATACATTCTAATTTCTTTCTGGGCATTCATTTGATTGGGTCCTGGGGAGCAGAGAACACATACGTGTGTGTCCAGGGGCAGAGCACATGGATTTATGCATACACAAAAACTCAGAGCACAGCACACTGTTTTAAGAGTCTGAACTTTATCTTTCAACAAAGTTTAGCTGCTTTCCTTTTGCAAATGCATTTAATTTTATCTGGAAACTTTCTGACGTTAGAAATAGAACAACTGTAGTTTCTCATTATGTTTGCTGCCAGAATCCATGCTTGGTTGCTCAACTAAAGACCTTATATTGCTAATTACTACCACATGCCCATATCCCAAGCGAAAGAAAACTTATTGATTCTGACAGCTCATTCTCTCAACACTGAATTCCAAATGAAAACTCAAAATTTGGCCAAACATAACATTTCATCAATCTTGTTTTACTGACTGGAAAAACAACATCAAACAAAGGGTGCTAATGGCCCTTTATTACCGTGCCTTTCCCAAGCTTATATTTTCTGATGAAAGATCTAAGTGACCAAAGGGCTTCTTTAAACTACTTAGTAATTAGCTTTTGAACCAGGAAACAATGCGTAAAGTAAAGTGAACAGGCCCGGTGCTGATGACAGGATGGACTCTGTGTCTGCAGGGTCAGGAACAGTGGGGACCCAAAAAGAACATTAACAGCAAAGTGCATTTCATAAAGGGAGAAGAAAAAAACAGAGAGAGAGAGAGAGAGAGAAAATCAGGCTAAAAGCGGTGATAAAAGATTACAGAGCCAGAACAGAATGGCAGGAAGTCTGTGATCTGAAGTCATCAGCACCTGAAAGTTTGAGTGTAACTGCCAGGGTGAAACATGACCAGATCGGACCTGGGGCAGTGAGTGAGTGCCCCACTGAGGGCCCCATCTGGGTCAGCCGGCACCAAAAGCTACCGGCCTCCAGCCCACCCACCAGCTCACCCACATTTGACTAGGAAAATTATTTCATTAAAGAAAAATTACCTGGAATGAGAGTCAAGAAATATTTTCAACCTAGCCTTCAGGGCAATTGATTTTATTGACTTCTTCAGGGGCAGTGATTGGGAAATGCTGGCAGTGACATTGGGAGATAGAGAGGCCATAAAGAGAGCCCCAGGCCCTCAGAATGCCTTCTGCTTTATGGAGACCTGTCCATACCTTCAAGGCAAAATGAATCGAGATGCTGTTTTCCTCTTGGCATGGGATACATGACCAATGGAAATCTCTGGACTTATTTGGCCTTTTGGATCCAACCAATGGCCCAGAAATCAGAACAGCTTGGTTCTAACCTCATCCAGGGCTGTTAAGATAATAGTGAGGGGAGGGCTCCATTAGAGGGAAGATGGAGGGATGTGCTGCCTCTCTGAAAAGACGCCAACTGGCCTCCTCTGGCCCACTGTCCTTTGTGCCTTTGAAAAGAAACTGGTGTCCTGTGGGTAGTTCAAGAAAATGAGCCCTTTTGTCCACCTCCTCATTTCCTGTGCAGAGGCCTGGACACCTGAGCTCAGGAAGCATTGGACTCACTGACCAAAGGGGAGGTTCCACTCTGCCCGACATGGCTGACTGTCAAAACGAGGAGAAGGCAGCAGTGGAGGGAAATACAATGCTCCCGGTCTGATTTTATTTCCTCTTAAAAAAGCCAAAGAAGCTCTTTAAGAGTTCATTTGAAACTGAACGAGAAGGGAAAGCAAAACAAAACAAAACAAAACAGTTCCATGATGGGAACTTCCATGACTGGGAAGAGGCGGGAGTGATGAAAAGTTTTCTGTGTCCTGATCCGGATGACAGGATGGTAGTTACTGGGTGTGTACATAGGTACAAGTTCCTCACTCTATATGTTAAAGATGTGTACATTTAACTCTATGTAAGTTATACCTCAAAACAAAAAACAAAGGTCACTGCCCCAGAAAAAGCTTTAAAAAAATAAATAAAGGGTGCCTGCTGCCAGCCCCCTCTCCCCCACAGCATTCCTCTCTTGAGGTGGTAAGGTACTGCCCCCTACTTAGGAGAAAACCTTGGGGTCTATATTGAACCTGCACATTGATATTGAGAGTGATAAGGTGATCCAAGCACACATTGAAATAGTTCCCGGGAAGAAAACACTCATGTTTGGGAAGCCAAACAAAAGATTCATCAGGAATAGCATGTAGTACCCTAAACTACCAGAAATATACTATTTCTTGCCCAGAAGGAATTTCAGTTGAGTAATGAGTCCCTCCAAGGATAAGATTGGTACCTCCTGGATGAAGAGGAGAACTGGGTTCCCAGTGGCCACAGCGCCTTTGCAGTAGGCCAGATGACCTGGATCTGCCACCCAAGAAGTTCCCTGCCAGAGTCTTATCCTGCATTCTTGCCACATACAAACCACCATAGGAGGGCATCATACTAGTTTGAGGGACCAGAATTTTATCACATAGCCAGATGATGTGAAGAATGAATGAGTTTTGTCTACTTGTTAGGGGTCAGAAGAGAAAATATGGGCCCAGTTATAAATGGACGCCTTTCAGGACAAATTCATTACATCTCTTGGAATTTGTGAATGGGAGCTGGTCCAAGTGTGGCAACGTCCTCGGGTCACCTCTGACATCACACCCCATGCAGAAGCTGGGCCTTCCCTCATAGAAGCACCCGGTGGGGTGGAGGAGGGGCAGAATTCAGACGGCACCTCCACAGGGACTCCTGAAAGTCACTCAACCACGTCTTTTCTGATGCAACTGACTTACTTTCTGCCTCCATGTTTGTTAAAAGTCCCGCCGAATTTATTCCGATTCAGGATGAGAGCAGCAATTTCGGGCACGTAGCGGGCAAACATTGCCTACATGCATGAAACAAAGAAACAAGAGCCAAAAAAAAAAATGGCATGCAGAGAGGATTCTACCGCAGCGGAGGCAGCAAAACCTCTTGGCATACTTACTTTCTTCCACTAACCGCACTATAGGAGCCCCCGTATTTCTTGCGGTTTCCTATTAACTCTATGATTTCAGGGACGTAGCTGGCAAACATGGCCTGAGAAGACAGGAGACAGAAGAGAGACTAAAAAGACAGGCCAAAGAAAAGGGGGGACCTGTTCAGACGGGGTGGGGGGCATTAAGATCTGAAAACACAAAAGGATTAGGCCTGCAAAGGTATATATTGATACGTTGGGTCATAAAAAACTAAAAGCATGAAAAGAGCAAGCTCCTGGAAATACACAAGACAAACAAACATTAGCTAACCTTGACAACTAAAGAACAAAAAAAATCACAGTCAAGAAAAATACAAAGGAGACAGGAATAAATAAGGTGATATCTAGTTCTTGTTGAAGAAAAATAGGCAAAAGGGGGGCATGCTAGTGAAATTAAACACACACAGGCACACGTGTGCGTGCACACACAATTTCGCAAGAGAAGATCTTTGTCATTAAATTCAGAGGAGAATCAACGTTTTTAAGAGTGACAAAAGAAAATAAACACCAAAAGATTAAAAACTAAATTTTTCTATTAAAAAAAAAAACCACTAAAAAGCACAAAAGGGAAATTTAGGAAATCACCTGGGAGGAGAAGATAGCAAGGAGAAACACAAATCTGCCATGTTTTGTCCAACAAACATCTGGCCTGTGGCTGGCTGGATGGGTCTTGTTATCTATGGGCACCTCACGGATGCTGCAGAAATGCTTGCGTGAATGTACACATGCACGTGCACATTTATATACATTTTTAAAATGTATATGCCCTATGCATACAAAACAGAGAGATGTGTATGCATCACTGTATATAAATGTGCGTGCAGTGTACGTACATGAAAGCTGTGTGTGGATTAGGATTTTAATCACTCACTTCATAAATGGCAAAAAATCTAAACTTAAAGTGAGCTACTTTGAAAGACAAAATGCAGCAACTGCCAATGTGTGGCCAGAAATCCCCTTGATTTACATTATAAGGGATGGTTTAGTGCAACCTAAAGAGCTGCACAGACCTTCAAAAACCAAACAGTGAAACTTTCCTAGAAGAAAGGAGCAAAAATATCCCATGTGTCCACTGCAGAATGGAGTGAGCTGTTTGCAAAACTGCACTCTGCTCACATGGGGATGTCTGCCTGGACAAGACTAAGGTGCTCTCTGTCCTTTGATGTAGGGACCCTTCTCTTTAGGGCAGGCCCCAGCCACAGTGTTTGTTGGAAGTTTGGGGAGGAACATAAAGGGGAAGGGGGAGCTCTTGAAACCGCAAACTGTCTCTACAAAGTATCCATAGCTTCTACCAGAGGCAGGTGACAGCCATTGTCGTTGTAGCATACCAGATGCTGAATTACATTGCTAAGGGGTAGACACTCTCCCTTCTTAACTGCATCACTTTCTTAAGACAATTAGGTGTGCTCCTGGCTAAATGGCTGTCCCTCACAAGGGCAATGTGCCTGGATCTATGGGACAAGTGTAATACACCAAGAATTATGCAGAAAAGTCACCATCCTGTTTGGATTTACTTAGCCTGATTCTAACATTAAGGCTTGCTTCTAGTGCAGAACACAGTCTACAATACAAAGCTTTAAGGAACTGTATCATGGAAAGTACTAACAACCATCAAAATCAAATCGTAATAAAGATTTTTTTTACCAGTCCCCCGAGGATGAAGAAGACCATGAAGAGGCGCCCAAGCGTGGTTTTTGCATAAACATCCCCATAACCAACGGTGGACATTGTGACCATGAGTAAATAGACACATTCCCAGTAGGTGAGAGCCTGGTTGTTTTGGAAATTTTCCCATGGGTCCCCTGAATTCTCCACCTAAAGCAAACGGGACAGGGGAGAAAAAAGTAAAACATGCTATTGAAGTGTATACATACAATAAACCCGGAAGCTCAGCACTCCCGAAGGCCACTTGCTAATGCACACCACTCTCCACAGGAGTTGTGTGGTTCCTGGGCTGAGCTCTGTGAGTCAGGATGCAGAGCTCCTGAGCAGGACACAAAGAAAGTGGAGAAGCAGCTGCAGGAAATATCTTCCTGGCTGATTGGGACAGAGAGGGAAAGCAAGAAGGAAAATATCTCTAGGCCTTTTTTCTTCTTCTGGTAAAATGTCGGAAGCCAGCTAAAATTCAGGGCATTGCCTCTGGCCAGGTTTTAGAGCACTCTCTTCAAGGAAAGAGCCAGAGAGCCCTTCCCTGACCTTCCTCAATGGGTTTCTAAGGCCCAGATGGCCTGGCTCTGCCTCTCCCGCAGAAATTATAAATGCTTCCACAGGGGGCTGCCTCCTTCCATCAGTTTATCCAAAGAGTATATATGGGCCCTGCTTGTTCTGATTCAAATAGCATCTCTGGGATCTGGCCCTGCTCTCCCTCCTTCGCAAATTGCCAATGGTGGTCTTAGCCTTGAGGCTGCCAGAATCTTCCCAGGGGCTTGGAAAGTGAGCTCATGAGAACAGCTTGCACTGGCACAGTCTGTTAGACCAAGGGCTGGCAAACTTGTTCAGTTTTGTGGGCCACACAGGTCCTGGTCAACTTTGCAGAGGCAAAACTTCAACAAATGGGTGTGGCTGGATTTGGAGAGCTTTGGCCCAGGACTGCAGTTTCCCCACTTTCCTGTCCTTCCATCATATTTGATCTGCCAACAAGGCTAGGAGATGGGCAGGAAAGGTACTTTAGATACTCTCAGGAGAGAGGGAGCTGCAGGTCCAATTTTACTCAAATACGCCTGTGATCCACCCGCAGGGCCTGTGGAAGGGTGCCTCTGCAAAATGTTTCCAGGGCCTGGCCTCTTTCACACATCAGTTTGTCCTCAATGTGCCATTTTCACAAAAGTTTCCTGGTGAACCTGAAGGGACTTCACTAATACCAATAGTAAGGTGGGGTCATCATCTTATTAAAGACTACTATCTCCTCCACATTTGTGATTTGGGTGCTTGGTATTTGGTTACAGCAAGAATTAGGGTGATTAAGGTTGATTTTGGCCAAGAATCCCATCGGTATTAAGGGCTAGGCAGGAGACCCCAAATCTGGTGACTACGTGAGCCCCTGTGCCCCACCTTCTGTCATCCCAGGCCTGTCTTCCTTTGGGTGATAATTACGTAAATCCCACGTGTGGGTAGGTAAGCGTGTCCTTCTATCCCTTATGCAAACAGAGGCTCAGCCACCGGTGGTCAACTTTATCCAAAGTCTCATAGCTAGACGAGGCTCCTTCCAGTTGTAACAGTCTATGTTTGCATGAAACACACTTCCTACAATGGCTGTGCTCTTTAAAAGCAGGAGGAAAGTCTGCCTTCGGGTGGTGTGAGGGGCTTGACTCAATATAAGGCTTTAAAAGAGTCACTAATAAAAAAGAATTAACATTTTTGAGGTACAAATCAGACAAAATAATCAAAGATGGCTTTTTGTAAGGGGGAAGTAGAGAGAAATTGAGGGATCTGAATTTGTTGTTTACTAGGAGGTGTGGGTCAAACTTCCAATCTTGTCCCCAGACCTTTTCCAGGTGTTTGCTTAGGAAGCACTGCCATCTTGTGGCTTACTATAGTTCTTGCAGACAGAAGGAAAATTTACCAAAGCCCCCACACAATACCAATGAGCAATGAACGGAAAAATGCAGGTTAATAGTGCAAACATTACTCACCATTTGGAACTAGTTTGGGGTAAAAAGGTTGGAAACCCAGACAATTGTGTGGTTGCTTCCCATCTTCCTGTCTACAACTGAGGTGAAATTTCTTTCCAGCAAGAAAAATTTTAGGTAATAAAATGACTCAGAGAGGGTCTTGTTGCTGGCAAGCGAGAGCGCAAGGGTCTTCAAGGTTACTCACCAAATGGATGAACCCGGCTGCAGTCAGCCACGTGCTGATAAATATGGAGAGCAGATTCACCAGCTTGATGGAATTACTGTGCAAGAGACAACAAGCAAAATCCCCACGTTACCAAGGGAAGGCCCTGCAGGGGCTATCTTACAGGGTAACAGCACCCGCTTAGAGGTAGAGGCTGCCACACCTAACTTCCAACCGTTTCTCCATTATAAGGGAATTCTGGAAGCTGGAGGAGCTGCTGGGATGAAGGTCAGGACAGAGCCTAGAGGAACGAATTTAACTTTGGTAAAAATTGACTTTTATTTTAAAAACTCTTCAAATCTACAGAAAAGTGGAAAGAACAGTATAATGAACACTTGTACACTCTTCATTTAGACTGACCAATTATTAACATTTTACCACAGGTGCTTTATCTCCCTACATGCTTTTTCTCTTATTCCCCACACCCCCGCCGCTCTTTTTCCTTCTCTTCTTCTTGCCATGTATATATGTATTTTTCTCTCTCCCTCTTTTTTTTTTTTTTTTTGCTAAACCATTTACCAATAAATCAGAGACATCATGGCACAAGCCCTAAATACTTTAGCACTCAACTCCTAAGAAGAAAAGCATTGCACAGCATAATCACAATACCATTGCACGCCTGAGAAAATTAAAACATAAAAATTCAGTAATGCTATTTAATATGCAGACCTTATTTAAATGTCTCCAGTTGCCCCAAAATTATGTTTATTGATTTTTTTTTTTTTTTTCCCCTAGACTCAAGTTTCATGCACTGCATTTGGCTGTTAGGTGGCTTAAATCCAACTGTCAGGAAACAAGGACAGAGAGTAAATATTTAGGCTTTACAGGCCATATAGACGTTGTCACAAATACTTAACTCTGTCACTGTGGCTTCAGAGCAGCTTTCGGACAACATGTACAGGAATAGATATGGCTTTGTTCCAATAAAACTTTATTTACAAAAACAGGCAGCAGGAATGGGTTATAGTTTGCCAATCCCAGCTTCAGTCTCTTTTAATGTATAAATGACACCACTCCTTTGTAATGACATTAGATTTTGTGTGAATCTAGGTTGTCTTCTATAATGTCCTATATTCTGGATCCTGCTTATTTACTTATTTATTTTTATTTTATATTTTGAGGTGAAGTCTCACTCTGTCACCCAGGCTGGAGTACAATGGTGTGGTCTCGGCTCACTGCAACCTTCGCCTCCCAGGTTCAAGCAATTCTCCTGCCTCAGCCTCCCAAGTAGCTGAGATTACAGGCACACGCCACCACACCCAGCTAATTTTTGTATTTTTAGTAGAGACAGGGTTTCACCATGTTGGCCAGGCTGATCTCGAACTCCTGACCTCAGGTGATCTGCCCACCTCGGCCTCCCAAAGTGCTGGGATTAGAGGTGTGATCCACTGTGCCCAGCCCAGTTTATTTTTAAAATAAATGTTATCGTGTATGTTTGAGGTTTACAACATGATATTATCTACCATCTCACATAGCTACGTTTTCGTGTGTGACAAGAGTAGCTAAAATCTACATATTTAACAAAAATCCCAAATACCATACAATTTTATTAACAATAGTCTTCATGTTGTACATTAGACCTCTAGACTTGATCATCCTACATAGCTCCCTACTTGAGTATTTCTGTTAAGCATCTCTGCAGGGATGACATCACATCAGGATATCCCAGCCCAATGACTAGGCCCATTCATGTGGCTGAGGTGGAGATGCTAATGTCTCCACTGAGAGGTGCCCATTTCACTTTGTAATGAATATGCCACCTTGAGTGAGGCCCCGAGACTGCAGGAATATCCTGCTCCCCAACAACCTTATACCTAACAGCTTTAGTATCCACTGGTGTTCCTTGAGTGGATCAACTGGACCTTATGACATTTTGAGCTCCCTGAGAGCTGGGGACTTGTCTGTCTGGATTCCAGGAGCCCTGAGTCCCTGGAGCATAGCAGGCCCCGTGACTCTGCACTGAGTGCGCTGGTCTCTGCCTCTGCTCTCTTCCTAAAGTGCATCCTGTTCACTCCCACTGGGGTATACCTGAAGGCTGCTGTCAGCAGGTCACTTCACTGTCCAAAGGCTTCTTGTTGACTAAAAGATGACATTCAAACTCTCTCCTTCCATTGTCAATACCTTGTGAAGTCCCAGTCTCTCCCACCACCACCCTTTCACATAAGCTCTTGAAACTGCCATCCCAGTTAAACCTATTTACTATAGCTATTGTCTACACTATTTACTCAACTCGAAAGCCTTTCCCATCTAGCCAAATATTCCCCATTCTTCAAAGCCCAGTTCAATCCCTACTGCTTCCTTAAAGTTGTTCCACCCACCTACAAGACAAAGTGACTTTCCCCGGCTCTCACCTCCAGCCATTCATCGGTAATTGATCCTACTGACTTAAGATGTCTTGTGTAAAGTTTTAGGTTGCTATTTGACTCTTGTGTTCCTTGCTGCATCTTGCAGAAAAGAACTCTCTTTTCTAGCTCTTGCATTTTCCCAGTAGTGGCTTAATGTAGCCTACAGTGTTGCCCAATCCATTAGTTTTGGTCAATTCATCTGTTACGACTTCCCTCTCTTACCTCTCTTTTGGAGAACCAATGATTTAAATTCTAGGCATTTAAGATCACAGTAATAGTATCAGCTAGCTTGTTTACAGTTCTTTCCCAGTGCTCACCACATGTGCCACCATCCTAAATGCTTTAGGATCACCTGTGCTTTATGTGTACTAAGCCATTTAATGCTCATAACAACACTCTTTCTTCTTCTATGGAACAGCACAGAGGAATCCACGGTCTTAGGTTTTCCAGAATTGATTCTGACAGTTCATGGAAAGGATAAACAGATACTTTCAACTTTGTGGGTGAGACTGATCTTTCGAGGTGTGTGGAACAACTTTCTTCTCGTTCGAAAACTTGGGAAAACAACGAAAATGTCCATTCTGTCTCTCTTGGTCATTTCTAGAGTTTCCAGATTATAATAACTGCCAATATTTATGGAGCGCTTATTATGTGTTAGATGTTGTGTTGAGCAGAATTCCCTCCTACCTCTACCTTGTAAGTCCTCTAAGGTGTGCTCCAGCATTGGAAGGTAAGAAGTAGATGAAGAACAGATAGCCAGTGGCAAAGGGAGGGCTCTTAGGGAGGTGCGTGTTGTCCATTTTCTCAGGGGATCATTAAATACCAAGTGGCTTCACTTACATACTCCTGGATTCTTGGGACCTGAACACAGCAGTGTCCCACCAACAACCATGTGGGGTCCTCTTGAGATATTTAACCTATTGGGAGTCCGAGCCTCTTGGTGCTTTGGGAAAATGACCTAAATATGGTGATTATTAAACTCTAAATGATGGTTACAGTGATATTGGTAGTGCGTTAGGGAGCTCTTGCCATATGCAGAACATTTAACCATTGTTGCTAAAACAGTCCGTGTTTAGCTCTGAAATCTGATTATTTTTATGACATCAGTATTATCACAGATCCCTAGGTTTAGGAATTTGCTTTCTAAATGAAACACTATCACCATGCATCTGAAAGCTACGAGCAAAAGATGCAAGGTTAACCCCTGGTGGGCATTCTCCATACTCTGAAATGTGAACCTTGCCAGGTTAAGTAAGGCTCTTTGGGAAGAAAGAGTGGGACATGCCAGGAGCAGGGCTGTGTGCTCTGCATGGCAAAGGTTGTGTATCTCTGCATGGAGATAGTCATAGCCTTCCTGGTCAAGCCTAGGGATCTGGGCCAAACGTGAAGCTAGCAATGGTTAGAATGATTTGAATCATTCAGATTCTAGCCTGCTTCCTAAGCTTTGAGGGAGATTATGATTTTATCATGAAAACCTCACCCATCTAAAGTAAATCATTCTCATTTTTCCAATACAATTCCTGAGTCCCCATCCCATGAGTTCTAATTCACATCGATGGACACGGTGAAACATGATAGGAGAGGCACACGATTCTTGTAGATTAGAGACCTCTTTCAAGAAACAGTGGATGCTGCAAGAGAAGGTCTGGCTCCAAAGATTACAGCTGTAAACCCAGAGTTTCTGGGGCCTTCTTTGTTCTCTATATGTTTAACAAGACATGTTTCAGTTAACACAGAAAATGTCATGCACTTTGTACAAAGTGCACATTTGTCCCTGCTCTGCTTGTCTCTAATTTTTCTCTTTGTTTCTGATACTGCCAGGTGCTGCTGGCCTTGCTTTGTTTTACTGCTGTGTTTGCTGGACAGATATAAAATACCCACCCCCTGAAAAGTTAACTGGACTGCACCACACTAACATAAATGGTCTGAACTATAACATGAGTGGAGCAAAGTGAAATTCTGCCAATCCAATCTCTTAATTATCTCTAGATCCCTTCTCCTCTCTCTGCCCCAATTTTCACTGCCTAAAGCCATGCCCTAATAGCTTTTCCCTGGACTACTGCCTGCTAATTGGTCTTATGGTCTATGAGGTCTTTGACGCTTCAGCCCCATTCCCTATACAACTGTTGGAATAGTGGATCTTTCTAAAATGTTAATCTAACCGCATTTCCTCTCTTGATTAAAATCCTTCAACAGCTCTCCTTTGTTCATGTAAAGTCTATGAATCTAAGAACCTGCATGATTTGGCCTCTCCCTGCACATCTCTTGCACTCTCCATATAGAATACTCTTCTTTACAAACTTTACCTTGGAGCCATTTCTAAGGTCATGTGAGTAGTAATGTTTTAATTTCAAAAACGCCTCCCAAAAACATATTGGTTAGGCATATGATGACTCATGCATATCATGGAATGCTATGTGGGAAACCAAAGGTGACGTAGTAGATATAATAGTTATCTCAAAGTAGTATGATATGGAGGCAATCTTACTCTATCCTTTATGATTTTGTGTGTTATTGCAATGTTTACAATGAACATATTTTAAAAATTAGAGGAAACAGGCTGGGCACGGTGGCTCACACCTGTAATCCCAGCACTTTGGGAGGCCTAGGCAGGTGGATCACCTGAGGTCAGGAGTTCAAGACCAGCCTGGCCAACATGGTGAAACCCCATCCCTACTAAAAATACAAAAAGTAGCCAGGCATGGTGGCGGGCACCTGTAATCCCAGCTACTTGGGAGGCTGAGGCAGGAGAATGGCTTGAACCCGGGAGACGGAGGTTGCAGTGAACTGAGATCGTGCCCAGCCTGGGCAACAGAGTGAAAGTCTATCTCAAAAAAAAAAAAAAAAGGAAGAAAGAAAAACTACACGAAACAATAGGAAATTCCCATTTTGAAAAAAATTGCTGAGTGATCCATGTTTTAGTCATCAATATTTACCACAGTCAATAAGACGTGGAATTATAGCCTTTAAACACAGCTGCTGACTTTCCTCTGACAGTTGAATAAGTGTTCTAGCACCTGTACGTTAGATCTCCAGTTTGCAGAATAACTGAGGAACTGCCAAAACCTCAGATAGTGAGGGGGAGTCTCCTTGTCTCCCCTTTAATTGGCCCGTTTCAGGCTATGGAGTATTCTAGGCCCGCTGTGGGCTTGCAGCTTGGGAGAGGGCCCTGATGCTGGTCACATAACTGTGATCTGCCCGTTTCATCCCGTGCACTTTAATTTTCCTTCTGCTGCCTTCTTAATTCTTTATCAATCTTTCTGCCCACCATATGCTTCTCTGCCTTGTTTCTTTCAGCTCTTGGCCCAGTGAGGCAGCCAAAGTACTGGAAATGAAACAGCAACTCCAAGTCATTATTTCAAATCACATTGCAAAGCCTCCATCCCTACATAATGCCAGATTGGCAGGAATTCACCACCAAAGAGCCAGACAAAATCTCCCTAAAGACGATTACATGGGTTCCCCAACCCACCCTCCTGGAAGGACCGCTGTGAAAGCAGCAGAGTATGGAAGAGTCATAGGAGAATTGCTGAAAGTCCAAAGCCCTACAAAAGCCAAGGCTGCACTTTCTCTGGGACAGAACTTTGGGATCCACACTTGGGGATGCCCAAAAGGAAGGAGCCAAGATTAGCCGGGCCAGCACCTGGAGAGAAAATGGCCTCAGAGAGTTGTCCTAGAGCTTCTAGACTTCTTACAATTACATGATATGTGCTTCTGTGCCTGGCGACCTGGCCTTTCCTACCCTCTTAACCTCATCCCCCTCTTTCTTATCACAGAACTCTTAATGTCCAGGAGTGCAGAATTACCCAGAGTTTCCCCAAGTGCCATGCTCTCAGATCAGTGTGCTGTTAGCAGCTTCCTTGATTAGAAGTCAACCCCCACCCTACCCCTCACATGCCCAGCCCCAAGAGGATGATACTTAGTTTTCTACAAGGCTTACCTAAAGGTAACCTTCTCCTTGAAAAGATCCTTGACTGCCCCACAACTCATGCCAAGCCCAGCTTAGTTACTCCCCTCTCAACCCATGGACATACTGACATCAACATTAACCACACCATCAGGCGGCCTGACCCCCTACCCAGCAAGTTCTCTGACAGCAGGACTCCTAGCACCCACCTTGCTGCTGACACCAATGGGTGCTCACTCCAGGCTTGCTGAATTACCTCAACCATCTGGTTATGACCATAAGTGAAGGGAACTCTGAAAACCCAGGTTGTGGCTTTGGGGCAAAAAGCACCCTCTAACAGCAAGAGTTTCATATAGTGTGAAGTGGGACACTGGAGAAAGGCTGTCTTGGGGCCCGGATGGCAGATGCCCAGCCAGCCTTCCACCCCGTGACTCTTCCCTAGGGCCATTCCCTCCCTCGTGCCCTGGCTGGCTGCTTCAGCTTTCCCCCTCTACACTGAAAGGAGGAAGCAACCATACTGTGCAGTAGGCAGGTGAGTTAACCACCGGGGATGCCACAGCCACTTCCCACATCCAAAGGAAAGAAAAGTGAGTGTACTAGCAGAAGGTCAGGAAAAAACATTCAGATGGTCCATCATTCTCTCAAGTCCTAAAACAGTCCAGGGAGTAGACAGTATTCCTCAGAGCAATGGAAACTTCTCAAAGCTGGCATCAGAGAATAAAAATTCCCTTAACATATGATGTGATTGTGAAACAGGGAGAGACAGACACTACCCGACATTAGAGAGTGTCACAAAACACCACCCCTACCAGAAAAATAAGTGTCTCTTAAGGACAAGGCTCTATGCTTGGTGCCGGGTACTCACCCATTCCACCTTCAAAACACAGTCTAGTGGAGTGAATCTGACATAGGTAAATATTGAAGAGATGCTAGCTTCATTGATCATTTACATTTCAAAAGTAATAATTAAAAGGCAGAAATCAAGGTTATTGGCACTCAGAAAAATATGAAGAAATATAATATTCACTGTATATGAATAATATTACATTATTGCTAATAAATAGAGGACTGACACATTCTTATCTCAGGATAATGAACAGTAAAAGGCAGGAGGACATACTTTTAAAGACTTCAGTGCCATTGGATTCTCTTTTTCTTTTCAACTTGGCTAATAGAAAGTGAATTTGACCTCACAGTCACATAGATGAGCAGTCAGAGAGAGGAAACCAATTTGGAATTAAAGCAAAACAAAATAAACAAGCAGGGGAAAAAAACCACCAACACCCAAGGAGTAAAGCCAATCATAGGTTGAATTTGTTGGCTGTGTCAGATTCATTCAGGAAGCTGGGTCCCAGCCTGTGTTACCAGGAAAATGATGCTGAATCTAATCCTCCAAACTGCAGATATATTAATTACAAATCACAAAATATGGAGGTGTCCTGTTTTTAATCATTTATCAAATGTGTGAAGGGCAACCAAAGAGGAAATGGAACATTAGAAGTGAGCTTCTTAGAGTGTAATTTCCTAGAAGAGAAATTTATGGCCTGTACTTATTCTCCATTAGAGCACGTCTAACCTCTTTTATTAGTTTATTCATCAAGACAGCCCTGGTTTCAGGCCAGCTCTGCAAGCCAGCAGGTCATCAGGAAAGGGATCCTCTGGGGGCTTTTCCTCCTGGTCCAGTTGCGTTTTCCAGATCATAACGCAGTTAACAGAAGTATTCATGGTGCATTCGGCAGGAGGTTTGTAGGTTTTCCCCCAAAAGGCAATTCACGGAGCAAGCCCCAAGGGCTATATGGATATAAAGTGAACATCTAAAATGTGCTTTGAAATGAAATGATTTTCTGTTTGCCGTATGAGGTTTGTGATTGCCTCTCACAGCATTGCTTCCATTGCCTTTACGACTGGGTTCAATTTCTTATTTAGTGATGTAATAAAGGGGCGATTTAGAATCTGGCAGCAAGGACTTCCCAATCAATGAGCAAATCTATCCCTCATTCACTGCGCGCCTCTCCCCGTGACACCGTGACTCTTATCTGGGCAACCCCACTGGGCACCCAGATATCAGCTATGTCCCTACATTCGTCCCCACTTCCCTGCATGCACAGCTGTTGCTCTCTTTTCACCACATAATTCCCTGGCCCTGCAGAAGAGAGCAACCCAAACCCTACTCTGGGTTTTCTCTCCCTCTCCGTGTTAGATCACTCTTTTTGTGAATAATATAACTATTAATAACGTCATTGTGATGAAAGCAAGCACACCTGATATTTGCAACTTGGCATAGGGGACTGGAAGGAAAAAATATGACAAAGAACATCTTACCTTGTTTTAAGAATATTCAGAAACTGCAAAATTTCTGAAAACTGTATCAGTCTCAGAGCTCTTAAAAATCTCAAACCTGGAAAAAAGAATGAAATAGAGATGCATTATTTTCAATGCGTGGTTTTAATGTTCACAGTCTGCCATTTGATTTACAGTTCCCAAGGGTCGAAGGCATGGGAAGTTCTTGCAGAAGATAAACCAGCTGGTACCTCGGACATATTCCTTCATTCTGATTCTTGACTGGTTTAATCTCGACTGGTAAATGGACTTTCTCTTTATAAAGGTGGCCTGTTCAAAACCTCTTTAGAGGAAGGGCTCGTGGGGAGAAGCCAGGTTAATGAGACTTTTCATTTAGTGATCTCTGATTGAAAGCACTGTTTCTAAGTCACCTAGTTGTCTGGCAGGATTTTGTCTCTGAAAAATCCTAGGAATTGTTATTGCTCAGGGTAACCCTTGCGCTAAGAGCAGATTGAGAATAAATCGGATAACCTTATGTCTTTGATGGATTTTATTTTTTATCTTTATCTTCAGCCCTGATAAAATGAAGAGTACAGCCCACAGTGTTATCTGTTTTCTATAAACTTCTATATTTTCCTCCCAATAAAAAAAAAGATTGGTAAGATATCACATCCCACAACTTCTGGATTCAAAATTTATATAGTTCCCCGTTTATTAAGTGTTAAGATAAATGGTTTGTCCTTTCTAAATCAACGACCTCTCTTGAATGGAAAAGAAGCATCAGTGTTTAGGTGGCAGAAGAGAGATGGAGAAGGAAAACACATCAAGCACATTTTAAAAATGTAAATTATTATGTTTTAATAGCTAAGAGTGAATTATATTTCTGCTCAGGTGAAATTCATGAGTCAAAACATTCAGAGTCAGTCCTGGGCTATAACAATCTGGCTGTCATGCAAAGAAATTACTTACAACATGCTGGTTTATCATCGCGTTGAGACACATTGAATGTCACACCCACTCCCAAGGGGATTTTCTTTTGCGGACTTTCTAGAAGCATTTTATGAAGCACCACCACGTGCCAAAGGCAGTGCGAAGCCTTCCAGCGCACGGAGTTGACAGACAACTCCACACCCGTGGGTGGGGCTTTGTTCTCCCACACCTGTGAGCCAGTAAAAGGCAGCCTAGGGCACAGCAGTGGGAAGGAATCCTTACTACCTTCTACTTGAACAAGGAGTACGCTAATGGCGCCCACCGTGGAGCTGTTTAGGTAATAAGGGAAAATTAACTGAAAGCTCATGGGGTGGGGGGAAATCTGACTGTACAAGGAAAGAGGAAGAAAAGGATTGGCTCAAAAAAAATAATTTCTCATCTGAAAAGGATTAACCATCATGAACAGAAGACTTTTTTTTTTAAAACATTCTCCTTCTATGCCAAATAATACTTATATAACTTTTATTAAATAATTGCAGAGATGAGACGGGATGTTGATGAAATAAAAAGGCTCACGGCCAAAAGCACAGTCGTAACTGAGCTGATGAAAGGCTGACTTTGCACTGCTGAAAACCGATCACGGCGAGGAGTACAAAACTAAGAAGTCATCTCAGAAAGCAGAGAAAATAAGGGAAAGGGAGAAGAAAAAAAGATGAAACTTCAGAAAATAGGAACAGTGTAGATCATAGAGATCCAACCATGGATAAAATGTGTTTCAAAGGGAAGTCCAAACAGCACATTGATCATAAGCAAAGGCCAGGACATAACAGAAAAGAACTTTTGAGATACAAAAAAATGGAGACTAAAAGGTGAAATGAAGGATCAGCTTTTAGATACCAATGCCGAGAAGCATCTGGCTTTTCATTTTCACATTTCAAGTATTAAAATCAAGCAATAAAAATAAACCATCAGTGTTGATGGGGTTATTTACCGTTAATGTAACTAAGATCATTATATTTAACAATAAGTGTTAAATGGCAATTGGGCAATTCTCAGAATTTTTAGACAAACAGAATCCAACCCAAGATTTTTATACCCAGTCAAGTGGTTGTTCAAGAATAAAAGTAACAAAAAAACCATTTAAAATTCTAAGGTCTCAAAAAATACATTGTTTGCTCAGTGTGCGCGTAAAGTTTCCAAAGAGATTCACAAGGCTTGCTAAATTAGAATGGGAGGGGGCAAGGGCTGGAACTTAAATTTATAACAGACTCTACTGCTGGTCCTAACCTTCCAGCCCAACCTACACTGTTATCTCATACCAGTATCACTGTCGCATATTGCTGAGCTAAAACGACACATTTAGAAACGTGGAGTAGAAGGCGACTGGCAGTTAGCACTGAAACTATCAAAGATAACAACGCTCTTCCATGTTCACCAAGGGATACATTCCAAGACCTCCCAGTGGATGCCTGAAACCTCAGATAGTGCCAAATCCTATATGTATCGTATATACACACCTATGGTAAAGTTTAACGTATAAATTAGACACAGGAAGGGATTAATAATGACAATAATAAAACAGAACAATTATGACAATATGTACCAGCATCACTATACTTGTGCTTTGGGGCCATTATTAAGTAAAATAAGGGTTACCTGAACACAGGTAACATGGGTTACAGCAAGACATGGGTCTGCCCACTGAAGGACACTGAGAGACTAATGGCCAGGGGGTGCAGACGGCACGGATGTGTCGGACAAAGGGAGGATTCTTGTCCCAGATGGGGCCAAGCGGGACAGCATGCAACTTAAAACATATGAATTGTTTATTTCTGGAATTTTCTATTTAATATTTTCAGACTAAAGTTGTCTGGGGGTAACTGAAACCTCAAGAAGCAAAACCATAGGTAAGAGGCACTCCTGTAGAATACACGCTAGCAATGTATTAGCTGCTTAGGGTTTAATCCTGAAAATTATGTGTGTGCATAGATATACTTTTATTTATGAAACTAAAAATAGAATACAAACAACCTAAACTTCAAACTGGATTTCTTCTTTTTATCTTTAAATGATGGTGTTTGTATCGTATATCCGTTGGTGATAGGCAGCTTGCCACATTTGAGTGAGTCATGCAAATATAGTAGAATAAAAGCTTTTCTTTTAATTAAGGTGCATGAAAGTAAAAGGGAGGAAAGAAATGAATGCAGAGCCCACAGGGTCCTATACTCTTGCTAGAGACAAACTGCAGATCTAGCTCTGAGCACCTTCTTAACAAAAGCAAGCAGGGAGACAGGATAAGATTAATAGTGTATACATAAGAGAGAAAACAAACTGGCTTGCAGGAGAATCATTTATTTTTCCCAACATGGAGACCAGAGGGAAATGTCTCCTTGCAAAAGGGATCCAGGGTGATGCAGGAACAAGACCCCTGTGGGCTGAACAAGGGTGGCCTTTACTTATTTGACTGTCTCATACTGGGCATTTTTATGGCACTGAGTTTCATTAATGCAAATGAGTCAGTGAAGTTCTCCATAGGTTAAAAAAGTCCATCTACATTTTATCCTCAGATCAAGCCAGACTATCTGGGGAAATGGTTGGTCTTTCAGGAATCATTCACAATAGCTTCTGTATTTTCTTACTCTGCTAATAAAGACATACTCAAGACTGGGTAATTTATAAAAGAAAGAGGTTTAATTGACTCACAGTTGCACACGGCTGGAGAAGCCTCAGGAAACTTACAGTCATGGCAGAAGGGGAAGAAAACACATCCTACTTCACATGGTGGCAGGAAGGAGAAGTATCCAGCAAAAAGGGAAAAGCCCGTTATGAAACCATCAGATCTTGTGAGAACTCACTTACTATCACAGGAACAGCAGCATAGGGGTAACTGCCCCCATGATTCAGTTACCTTCCACAGGGTCCCTCCTACAACATGTGGGTATTATGGGAACTACAATTCAAGATGAGATTTGGGTGGGGACACAGCCAAACCATATCAGCTTCCTAACCGCTTTCTGCCCTGGACCCCTTATGGTCTCTACTCAGAAGCCTTCAATGCCCCCCATTTCACACAGAGTAAAAGTCAAAGTCCTCCAACAGCTTAAAGCGACACCACCCCACCACCAGCACTATCTCCTTTTGGATCTGATGGCTTCCTACTGCCACTCCTACTACTGTCCGCTGATCTGGCAGATGTCTTCAGTGAGCCTTGAACACACAGGCATGCTACTGACCCAGGACCTCTGCACATGCAGCCTCTCTGCCTGGAACGCTGTTCACCAGATGCCCACAAGGCACACTCCCTCACCTCCTTCAGGTTCTTACTCAATGTCCTTTGATCAGCGTGACTTTCCCTGGCTACCTGACCTAAACATGTAAATCCTTCCACACCACCCATACAACTCCCTATCCTCTTGCCTGCTTTACTTTTCTCCTCAGTATGAAGCACTGGCATCTCCATTATGTGGTTACTTTCTGTCTCCCTCTCTGTAGCATCAGCTCTATGAGGGGAGGAGCTGATGTCTGTTTTGTTCAGGGCTATATTTCCAACATCGAACATAGTATCTGGCATACGGTGAAGGTTCAATAAATCCTTGTTTGAACTGAATGAGTGAATCAAAGTTTTGAGAAAGAATTAGATGGCAGAGTTAAAGGTTAGATAATCCACATTCAGAATTCTGAGACTATACGTCACCTACTAAAGGGAAAAGCCACAAGCCCTGCAGGGTCCCCTGAGAGAGGTCAGGGCTGCACTCTTAGGAAGTAGAAAGTAGCCTCATCAGGGAAAAGCCTTAACCAATGACCGCTCTGGCTATACCCAGAAAGAGCCCAGAAGACTATAGACAGCGACTTCAGGCTAAGAGAGGAGACCAAGAAAAGCGAGGTGAGAGGGGGAACTCTTTGGTGATAAGGATTCATCTCCTCTGTTTTATAATACCTTTTATTATTTTTATTCTATAAAATATCTGAAATAAATGATTTTCTAAGGCAATACAAAATAGCTATAAATAGAGTTGTGAAGAAGAAAATGTGTATGTACCAAAAGCCAGGAATTATATGCCCTCCACAAAAGTTTTCAGGTTCAGAGAGTTTTACAAGTAAGGTTTTTACACTTTCAAAAAATGGTAAACTTCTCTATCTATTCACTATTATATGATCAAGTCTTAAAAATGGACTTATCTATGTTTT